CAAGATTAAATTTCGGACCGTACCTTAAATTTTGGTAAAATTCTGTGCCTTTATGATCATCATTACACTTTTTTACTTTTGTGTTCATGTTTATACAACACCTTTATTTTTGTTGAATGTCGCTTTATCATCGATTTATTCGCCTTTCTGTATACGTACTATTTAGTACAATACACGGCTGCAATGTTATTTCACTACAATGTTATTCATTTCGAAAAAATAGTAACTGAGCACACGGATAATGGAGGTCCACAACAATAGGTGTTGCCCATCACTTGGAGAGTGGATGTTCGTTTACCTCACTTACCAGACGCATTGTTAAATTATAAAAACTTTCACTTCATGCGCATCTTCCGTGAAGCTGTGGTGCTACACTGGTCGAGATGGTCTTAGTGTAGCATCAATTGTTATGTTAGATATACCCTAACTGTGGTAGGGCCACGCCAACTCACTTAACAACAGGTCAGGCTTGTAACGTCCTCACAATAAAAAAAATATTATGTCTTATGAACGCAGTTGTTGCAATGTTATAAAGCTTTAGTCACATTCTACTTGAAAAGTACAGACTTGATATCCTCTAAATATCATATCATTATATGATATTATAATATTATAATATCCATCCGTGCAAGCTTCGCACAATCGTACAATATACATACAGTCATACACGTTAAGCGAACACTCGGCCGAGCATGGTAGGCGGAGTGAGGGGTGTTAGGTTTTATTTTCGTTACGGAATTTCTTGATTCAGTCGCCGCGCTCAAGGCCCGCGATAAAAGCTATGCAATAGCTTAAAAACACTTTCATTGGCCACGGCGACATGGGGTTCCGGGACCGAGACATTGTGGGTCAGTGGGCCACTGAACTTGTAATTATATTTTCCCAACAGCATTATACACTCTTAAGCATTCTAAATATTTCATTCATTCTTTGCTAAAATAAGAAGTCAAAATAATTCTAATATCTGTTTTAAAAAATGTTATTGTATTGGTTTTGCTAACAATGAGTATGAGCGTATTACTTTTATTGGTTATATACTTGTTATTTCACACTTAAATATGAGAAACACCGAGAACCTTATGTAAATGTATATAAAACATATAGTTATTCTTCTTGTCATGCAAGGTTATTGAGATAAAAGGTTTATACCCTAGCTATCTAGACGTTAGCACATATGTATAGGTGATTTAAGTACAAGCTCTCATTTAGTTTTTAGTACTATTGTAACCGTTTGTGTAATCAGTTCATAAGGTGAGTACGTGTGTCTGTAAATTTGTAATACAAACAATTATTTACAGTAACACTTGTTTGAACATTTGAGTCTATGTCAAAGAAATATTTATAAATAGAAACTTTCTGTGTGCTCATTGTTTAATAATCATGATGTAAAACGTCGACTTAAATTTTTGATTGATTCAATACATTTAGAGGTCCATAAACCTTGTCATGCTTGAATTTATAACAAAATATAAAACTAATAATTTCTATGATTCATTTTATATATTTTTTTGTCAACACTAATAAAATTATATTTCCACCTGATTAAACATTAAGAATATATATGGATAATAATGTTTCAATATGTAATTGGTGAAAAATTTCTTTTACAGATGATGATAATCTTTATTTTGACTGCCATAAGCCAAGTGTTAGCGTCCGACCAAAAATGTGATGGCGTCTTAGTTGATGGAGTAATGCACACGAAGGAAGTGCTAAAAGAAAACTTGGACAGTCCTTACCAATTTTGTGTTGATTATAATTCGAATACGCTATTTTTTAGTTACTCTACACAAAACAAAGATCAAAGATTCCAGTCGGCGTATTTAAATCTTCAAACTAATAAATTTAATATTATTTCTACTGTTAGGGATGGGTTCGCTTCAGCCATTGACTCTTATAATAATAGAATTTTTATCGGTGCAAAAGGTGGAATCTATGATTTTAATTTAAAAACTCAGGAAACCAATCTTGTGCAAGCAATTAATCAAAATATTTGGCAAATGTTTTACAAAGATGACTTGTATTATACTACTTATCCAACAGAAGAAGCGTATTTGTTTAAAGATGGAATTTTTAAAAGGTTAGATGAGTTAAGTGGAACAAAGGCTATGTTAATAGCTGTTGGGCAAGATGGAAATATATACTTTTCTAATTCATCGGGTTTGTTTGAATATAAAAGGACCAAGAATACAATTTTCCATATAGGTGACCACGTTATTAATGGAATGAATGCTGACATAAATGGTAAAATATATTTTTCCTCACCTAATGCTATATTTGTAATCGATGAGAAACAGGATACAGTGAAGCGCCTAGTGACACTTGAGAATGTGTATTCGGCAGCTGTTGAAAAAGATGGCAGCATTTTATATGGGACAGAGGATAGTATAATTAGACTTAAGAACAGTAACAAATGTAACGTTTAATTTTTTTATAATGTAATTTCAGGTGAAAAGTATCTCAATATACACATGTCATTATTTTGTTTTTATTTATTATTTTATTTGAGCGCTTGCCTCAACTTCTCTGCACCATCTGTAAGGTTGACTGACAGAAAATGCATTTGGCAACAAGCTCTCCTTTGAAAAAGATTATTTTGTGCATAAAGTTGTAAATAAATAGATTTATTCAACGCCATGTCTGAACGTGCAGACCAATACAACCTAACCTTAGACCTTTTCCTATCGTTCATTCAAAAATAACTCCTTAATGTTTATACTGCGAATGCAAAAAATGGGAAAAAAGGGATTCAGCGTACGGTCGGTTGTTTATATATGTCATATGTTTATATGTGTCATAAAGAGTGTCTACCATCAACTATAGAGATACTGTACATACTGGAACGCGCTACTACTGTTCAATGAGAGTAAAAATATACTATTTTATTTCGTGTGTTTGAATAAGCGTCGTTAAAGAACTTGAAAGAGGATTATGATGCTTCTAATAATACAAATAGCAACGTAGAAGTCAATAGACTAATCTTGGAGATGCGGACAGGAGAGAGGTTTGTTTTGAATGTTACAATCGAAGAATTTCCTTTATAAAATTTTACTTCCTTAGGAAATTGATCTATCTATATAGAGATCTTGATGGTGGATCCAGTAAGACGTCTTGTAATAAATTTATAACATAATCATGTAACAATTACCTGTGAAATAATATAAAGTACGTACTTTTTTACCCTAGTCCAGCTTTCTGAAATAAACGTGCAATTAAATATTACTATAATTTCATCTCATTGTTCATAGTAAATGTTTGATTTGACTTTAAAATTGTCAGATTGCATGGAGGAGACGGAAGTAGAAACATATAGGATTCTTTAAATTATAGAAATAAATTGTTGCAACACTTTGAAGTGGATGTCTCAATAAATTAAAGTTTTCTTTAAAACATTTATTAGAAAACAATTGATTTGTTACTTATATTACATTCAGTTAAACATGCATAAGGCAAATGGAATGCCTATAGGATTTTATATTACAAATGTAAAACTTCTGAAGGAACAAATATTATATAACCTTTGTTCCATTTTGGTGTTCTTTCTGGATCTAATGGAGAAAATGAAGATATATTTATTTAAAGTAGTTTTCAGTATAAAATGTCAATTGAAATATTGACATTTTATGCATATGTTAAGGTTACGAAAGGTTATCGAAAGGTTATCGAAATGAAAGTCTCATAATATAATATCAAAGATCAGACAGTGTACTTAATAAAAAGAGATGCATCAATCCCTTACTATGTAGCGGTTATAATATCATTTTTGTTTACAAAAGAGCAACTGATGAGTTTCTTGACGGTCTCTTTGGAAGAGAAAGTGCTTTCCGAACTGGTGGTAACTGATTTACGAACTTATGTATCAATTTTTATGTAAAATAAGCGATCTCACCCGGCTTCGTTCCGGTGAAATGTAGATACTGATGTGTACTATGGTACATTTGTAATCAAATTCCAAATAACCACTATTAGGCAGCATTTTGTAGGTTTTTCTACACAAACGTATGGATGTTAGCGAACTCTTCAATATTTGAGCATAAATACTTAAATAATATAAATTCATTTGTTTATATAGCTTTGTACCCTTATCTCACTAATATCTTTAAATGACATAAAAAACACGAGATAATAAATTTTGGTCACCAATGTCAAGTAAACATAATGAAGGTTTTTCATAATACTAAATTTGTGTGTACAAAATTATAATCACTTTGTAGTTATTTTCAAACATCATTTTTGATTGCAATAATTTTGTTAGTAGGACTTGATTAAACAACAAATATGTATGCATATTTAAGGGCAGTCATTGTTAAACCAATTTTCTTCAGTTAGTTTTAAGTTATTCCACGAATCTATGCGGAAAATAAATTTGCAGACTATAACTATACAGAAAAAAAAAGTATTAATGTATGAATGTACATACAGGTTATGTTTTCGCGACAAAAGGATTATAAAAAAAGGATAGCATTTAACTAAGTAGCCAATTGAAAGTATTAACTGATATTTAAGAATTTTTGTTGTTAATAAATGAACCAAAAAGGAACTTAAGCAAAACCCGCAGATATCCAAACACCTTAAGAAAATATGTATTTTTCTATACATTTCATTGTAGTTAACCTAAAGCGTCATATCATTTTCGAATCATGCGAATTTTTTTAGTTATTATTTCATGTGTTGGTAAACTTTTGATACTTTCAAAGTTTCAATGTTGATATTTTAAATGAATCCTTTTTAACTAAAATTCGTGTTACCTCCACTTTTAATTTTTAATTCCCTGTACTTGGAGTTAAATTACACTAAATGTCATCTCTGAAAAATTAATTTCTCTGTTGCCTTCTTACTCTATGGAGAATGCTACTATTTAAGTATTTTATATCATCAGATTAAACTAATACTAATAAATTTGTAGATAGTTAGTAATATCTGGTGAACGTACGTTATACAGCCTATGTTAACTAAACATATTAATATCTATTTCTAAATTACGTTAATTTCTTTTTTAAATGGCACCTCATGAATCAACCTGGCGTCGTGATGCAGATATTCGGGCTAAATTAAAAAAGACACATGTTAGTTTTCCTCAACTGAAATATCCTTCACTCAGGGATGATGGTCCGAAGGATCCGGTACAATGGCTTACTGGAAAAGCCTTAGATGATGGAGCCGAAGGGCTTTGGAGGATTCAGAACAAATTATATGATTTAACGAAATTCATTAAAAAGCATCCCGGGGGTGAGGAGTGGCTGGAATTAACAAAGGTAATATATAGACGATTAATGATTTTAAAACGTAAGATTTCTAAGCCTTAACCATCTTGGTTAACATCAAGAGTTGTCTTATGCTCTTCTCAAATATTTACTGTTTGCAGTATTAATTGTGGGAAACTTAATTATGTTCTTATATATATGGTTATATATATGGTTGGGGTTTATACATAAATAACAATATATACTTAATAAACTGTTTTATGCTGTAAAGGATGCACACTAGATTTTTTTTTTTATGGAGAAAAGGGGCAAACGAGCAGGAGGCTCACCTGATGGTAAGTGATTACCGCCGCCCACGAACACCTGCAACACCCGAGGGCTCACAAATGCATTGCCGGCCTTTTAAGAAAGAGTACGCTCTCTTTTTGAAGGTTCCCAGGTCGTAACGGTTCGGAAAGACCGCCGGCGGCAGTTGGTTCCACAGAGTGGTTGTGCGAGGCAAGAAATGCCTTAAAAATCGCGCTGTTGTGGAACTTTGGACATCGAGGTGGTGTGGATGAAATTTTTGGTTCTGGCGCGATGTCCGATGGTGGAATTCAGCCGCCGGGATCAATCGAAACAATTCCTCAGAACACTCCCCGTGATAAATGCGGTAGAAGATGCAGAGTGATCCAACATCTCTACGCAGAGCCAGAGGATCAAGCCGATCGGAAAGACTTTGATCGTCGATAACCCTAGCCGCCCTACGTTGAATGCGGTCAAATGGAAGAAGCTGGTAATAGGGGGCTCCCGCCCAGAGGTGAGAACAGTACTCCATGTGGGGCCGAATTTGCGCCTTATACAGGTTTAGGCGTTGGGCAGCCGTGAAGTACCGTCTCGCCTTGCTGAGCACGCCAAGCTTCTTTGAGGCCAATTTGGCCTTACCTTCCAATTGACCGCGGAACTGGACGTTGCTCGAGATTTCGACGCCAAGCATTCCGATACTAGCTGTGGCAGGTAGGGGAGTGTTCTCGAAATGAGGAGTCACGACAAATGGGGCCTTTTTTCGGTTAACGCGCAAACTTGTGTCTTTTTGGGGTTGAATTGAACTAGGTTTAGTCGACCCCAGTCTGAGACTTTGGTTAATAAAGTCTCGACCTCAGACACAAGCTTGTTCCGACACTCGTGGACGTTTTCCCGAGAAATGTTGGCTCGGCCAGTGTACGAGACATCCACAGTGCTATCGTCTGCATAACAATGGACGTTGCTGATTTGCAACATGTCATTGATATGCAGAAGAAACAGAGTAGGAGACAGTACGCAGCCTTGTGGAACACCAGCATTGACAAATTTAGGATCGGAGCATGCACCGTCGACGACGACCTTGATGCTCCGATCTGCCAAAAAGTTGGTGATCCAATTGCATAATTTCTCGGGAAGCCCATAGGAAGGCAGCTTCGAAAGAAGCGCTTTGTGCCATACCCGATCAAAGGCCTTCGCTATGTCCAGACTGGCTGCAAGCGCATCCCCCTAGCTCTCAACTGCTTCTGCCCATCGATGTGTAAGGTAGACCAGAAGATCACCGGCTGAGCGACCCCGACGAAATCCATACTGGCGGTCGCTAATCAGCCGGTGCTCCTCTAGGTACCGTAGGAGCTGGCCGTTGATAACAGACTCCATTATCTTGGAGAACAAGGAGGTGATGGCTATTGGCCTGTAATTGGACGGATCAGAGCGGTTGCCTTTTTTAGGGATCGGGTGCACTAACGCGGCCTTCCATGATTTCGGGACTACGCCTAAAGTATAGGAGTGCCGGAAGAGACGCGTTAAAACCGGCGCCAACTCTGGAGCACATGTCTGTAACACGATCGGAGGGATGCCATCAGGCCCACTCGACTTGTGAATGTCCAAGGAGAGAAGTGCTTTGCGAACTGCACTTTGCCGGAATTTTACCTCCGGCATCGTAACGTCGCACTGGGGGATTGATGGTGGTGAGTTTCCTCGGTCATCCAAAGTCGAGTTGAACGCAAAGAGAGAGCCCAAAAGATCGGCTTTCTCCTTCGCGGCATGGGCCAACGAATCATCCTCCGTGTGCAGGGGTGGAAAAGATGACTTACAGAAATTCCCTAAAACAGCTTTCTAGATCTCGCCAAGCATTGCTAAAATGCAATAGAATGAACCTAGATAGACGTCAAGATTTTCGAAAGAAGAGCCAAAACCATTTAGGTAAAAAAATTGAAAATAAAAAACCTAATAAATATCAAAAAAAGTAATAGGTATGTGTGATATAAATATTAAGACAAAATCAGACGGAAGCCCTCGGCAGGGGAGAACGGTCATTACGGGTGGTATTGAAAAGCACCACCTTCTGCATTTGAGCTGTGAGCAGTCTGTCACGGAGTCCCAGACACGTGACACATTAGAGGTGCTGACTTTGATTAATCCATTTGAAGAAAGGATAGTACAGATAAAACCGACCGGTACACCAACCCACATGACGGTCACCGCGTGAGCCAGGTCCAAATTTTTTGTCTTCTTTTCGATTTCTGTTTTCACGAGATTCTCGTCATATGGAATGGTAATGTGCACTATAAATATCTGTGATGGCGTCCTGTCCATCAAGACGCTGTCAGATTATTTCGAGAGAATCGTTTTCTTGCATGTTATTGTTATAATTTTACTTTCTTGCGTTTTGTTGATGCAGGGTACTGATATAACAGAAGCCTTTGAATCTCATCATTTAAATCCGAGCACAGAAAAGCTCCTTAATAAATTTTACGTCAGAGATGCAAAAGCACCCCGCAACTCACCTTTCACATTTAAAGAAGATGGTTTTTATAAAACATTAAAAAGAGAAATATATGAAGAATTCAATAAAATACCAAAAGATGCTTCCAAAACAGCCGATATTATAACAGATGGATTATTTGGATTGCTATTGTTTAGTACTGTCATGACATGTTATGTGGAAAATTCTTGGATAGTGAATTTTTGGTATATTCTTGCATCTACATGTTTGGCTTTATTAACCGTTGCCTGCCACAATTACATACACCGGAAAAGTAACTGGAGAATGTTTTTATTTAATTTGAGTATGATGTCGTACAGGTGAGTATATGGAGGAAAAATTATGTCACTTAATTAGGTAACTATGTAGCAAAACATCTCTTATAAGGCAATACCAATACAAACGTGAGTCAGGTAAGCAAAATCTCACGATTCAAGGTTCAGAAACTCACTTTCAGTCAGGTGTTTTTTTATGTAAATGGGGTAAACCATGTGTCCCTTAATAAATTTATTCTAATTACTATTAAAACGTTCTAAATGCCATTAAAAGTGTTCTAATTACTTCACTTTGCACTAGACTATATTTATTTATTTATTTATAAATTTATAAACTTTCTATCTGCAAAGTGGATCACAGGGTGAAATTAAAAATAAGTTGTGGCTAGGTATTATTAATAATGCTAATTCTTCCAATTCCTCATAATCCGAAAAATAGAACCTAGTATATATATATACATATATATATGTGTATATAAGATAGCCGTGAAAGCTCAGCGTCCGGGCGCTCATCAATAATTACATTTACTCGAGCAACCTCAGTTCGATCCCCAGTGCTAGTACCAATGAAGTTGTTAATTTTAAGTGCTGAATTATAACGTGCATTTATGAAATGCAAATAAAAAAAATATTTCGAAAATATGTGAAGTCCGCCGATCCGCAGTGGTGTCACGTGGTGGACTATGTACTTATACCCTCTGTACAGGCCTTTACCCAGCATTGGGACATTTATAGGCTTTTACTTTACTTTTTTTATGTATGTAAATGTAATATTCAAAAAATTTCAACGACTCTAATATTTCGACTCAAATACCTTTGGTTAAAACAAGGATAATATCTACTTACTTTTAAATATGATGATTCTAGATACATAACATTTTTCAAGATTTTTTTCAATTTTCATTATGATTATTCACTGTGCTCATAGCTCAGTGTCCGGGCACTGGCTTTTAATTTAATATACTCGAGCAACCTGAGTTCGATGCCAGGTACCGGTACCAATGATATTGTTAATTTTAAGTGCTAACTCATCACGCGCTCAGAGGTGAAGGAAAACATTGTGAAGAAACCTGCAAAGTTTTGAAATGATAGCAAAAGAAATATTTCGAAGACATGTGAAGTCCGCCAATCCACAGTGAGGTCGCGTGGTGGGACAGTTATAGGCTGTTAATATTTTTTTACTTTTTCATTTCAGAGACTTTCGTGTTTCACACGTATTGTCACACCATCTTTATACTAATACTTTGATGGATTTTGAAATAAGCTCGCTGGAACCAATTCTATTTTTTAATCCAAGGAAGGATAAACCTATACATGCGAAGTTTGGACTTTTTACGGAATTTTTATTTTTTCCGTTCATATTCCCCTTGAGTTTTATTAAAAGGTAACAATAGCATTGAAAACAATATCGTTTCTAAAAAAAAATACTGACACAGTTAAATTAAATATTGAAATTGAATGAATTGGTTAATTAAATTTATTAGTACCTGGTGGACCGTATATGCGTATATGCATAATATTTTTCGATCTTACCGACCTAATAATAAGAAAATATGATGCGGTGTTTTTCACACAAGAAAAAAAAAAAAAAAAGAAAAAAGAAAAAAAAACAAAACCTGGATCATTAAAAAAAAAAAAAAAAAGAAAGCAATGATCTGGAATCGAAAAAAAAGTAAAAAAAAGAGTGTGTAAATGATCGTGACTCGAACCACGGTCTTCTGTTTTGGGGCCGCCCGATTACCGACCGAGCTATTATAACATTTTGATTTGTGGCGAAATTTACCGTCATATTCGAATGATATTTTTCATTCCCTGAAAAGAGGGATAAAAGAACATTTTCTAAAATTTAAACCTAGCTAGAACGATTTTTCACCCCCGAATCTACGCATATACTAAATTTCATGAAAATCGTTGGAGCCGTTTCCGAAATTCCGATTATATATATACAAGAATTGCTCGTTTAAAGGATAAGAGATACACTTATCGAGTAATGATGAAAATAAGCACAATCTATTAATTTATGACGCTATATAGGATAATGGTTGGAACAACTGTCATATTATTTTAATGCGTATAGTGTTTTTATTTTTACACTACTGAGGTCTTGACCATCAAGATAATAATTTTCCACATATCCCAAATAATTGTAAGTTGATTCAATAATATTCATAACTGTTTTGATAGTGAACCAACGAGAAATCTTTTGCTCATTTTCAGGAGTTTATCGATATTTCTCAGAAAAGGTTTTTACAAAGAACATTACCGTTGGCATGATGTCCTAAGTTTCCTTCTGCCTTTATGGATGTGGGTAGTTACAGGAAGTGCTCTGGTAACAGTTATATACCATTGGCTGTATATCGTTTGCACGAGTAGTTTATTATTTCATTTAATTGGGATCAATGCTGCTCACCATCATCCTGATGCTATAAAAGATGGAGATCAGCCAAGGTAAGATTAGTTTTATGGAATGGGTCAGTGTGATGTGGCTTCATATTTTCTTATATATATATATATATAGCTATATAAGCTACGCAGGGTATTAACATCCAGATTACCATAAAGTCTGAAGACAAGTCAGTCTTTGACATACGGTGCCGAGATGTGGTCTCCAACTATGGGCCTCCTAAAGAGACAAAGCGTCGCTCAGCTGGCAATGGAGAGGGCTATGCTCGGGGTTTCTCTGCGAGATCGAATCAGGAATGAGGAGATCCGCAGACGAACGAAGGTTATCGTCATAGCCAAGCGGGTCTGCAGGCTGAAGTGGCAATGGGCAGAGCACGTAGCTCGTAGAACTGACGGCCGATGGGGCAGCAAAGTTCTCGAGTGGAGACCGCGTGTTGGAAAACGCAGTGTGGGGCGGCCACCCGCGAGATTTACTGACGACCTGTCCAAAGTCGCGGGACTTCGATGGATGCAGGCCGCTTCAAACCGATCGAAGTGGAAATCCCTAGAGGAGGCCTATGTTCAGCAGTGGAGGCCTACAGGCTGAAATGATGATTATGATAATATATATATATGAATATATAATTCATATAAATGTACATATAATTGTAGTTTACTAATCTAATTTACTTCTTGTTATGCAAAAATCGATGACAATGAAAAAAATATAATCATTTTTAGGAGTGAAACTCCAGACTGGGGCGAGCACCAATTGGAAGCACTTCTTGATCGTAAAGATATAAACTCGAACACATTTGCCGTGGTTACGCTTTTTGGAGAGCATGCCCTACACCACATGTTTCCAACTATTGATCATTCAGTACTCAAATATTTACATCCTGTCTTTTTGAAAGTATGTGAAAAGTATAAAGCCAACTATAGGATGTCAACGCAGTTTCAAATGGCACTCGGACAAATTAAGGAAACTATGCGTACTGACTTTAGAGCTTTAAGTTAAGAACGCGATAAAATTTTTTTTCTACATTTCTCAATTACAAAAATAATCAAAAGGGTTTCAATATATGAATTGGTAATTTACTTTACTTTTTTTTCTTACTCTTTTATCACATATATAATTATTAGAAGTTATTTATTTATTCTTAGCATCACAAAACAGAATGATAACGTTTTTAAATATTAATAAAAAAATATTATTATAACAGTTAATTGACATTCATAGTAAGCAACGAAGTTAAGTTATACCTATTTTTAAGAAAAATAACCTAATACCTAAAATTGCTGGTATATACTAGTAGAGACAAATAATAATAATTTTTGTCTTTTTACTAGTATTGATCAAACATGGTAAAAAAACTTAAAACTAATAACTATATAGTAAAATGGTGTAAATAGTAACGGTCTTGTTCATAATAAGTTATCGGAGGTTTAAAAGCTCACTAAAAACAGATTGTCAAAAAGACTTATTCATAATCGTTCTATAACGCTAAAACGTTCTATAACTCTCCGATAAACAGCTAGCTGGGACCCTACTATAAACCTTCGATGAAGATATATTAGTGAAAAAACATGACCGATTTTGGTCAGCTGATTACCGACGTTTGTAATGACTTCTTTTAAATCATTCCACGCCGCCACCTTCGTTGCATTGGAGATCGTGTCGGTGTTTTTTTCGTTAATTTTATATAGCAAAAACCCGCTCCTTCACCAAATAAATCTTTCAAGATAATCTTCGAAAGCAAAAGTAATGCATGCATAAAAATTATAGTGCGAAGTGATAGACTTGCGAATATAACAAAATTGTAATACCAACTATTTCTTCCTCTAGAAAATTTTCACTACTCTGCCTTTTTAGCAGTCATGTTCATTTTAACATTACAATTATTTATTTATTTTGTTAAGACCAAAAACTATTAATAAATAAAATCAGGAAAATTGACACGAATCACAATCAACATGTTTGACACAAGTCAAGATACTTTTTTTTAATTTGTAGCGATCCATAAATAAAAACTCATGAAACCATTCTTTTATCATTTAAATTTCAAAAAAATTCTACGAAATTACATCATTATGTTCAATAAAGACATTTTAGTTATCGGAGGCTTATCAAACGATTATGAATAAAGATTTTTATCGAACGTTTGATACAATTAAAAGACGTTTTAACTAATATAAGTTTATACCTACATACATATTCGGTACATACATTATGAGCTACATTTTCAAGGAGTTCCGTTTTCGAGTTACCTCTCAAAATTTTATTAAACGTCAATAATATGCGAGTCATCGGCCTGCGGTTTTGTAAAAAACCAAAATAGACACATCTTTCCGTTTAATCGTAATCTCACTGCGAAATAAAAGAATTTTGTTTGAAAACTTTCGAGGCGATGTGTATGCATTGAACGGTAAGGATTCCAAACTGTAGTGCAGTACTCAAATTTTACTAAGAATTAAACTATTAAAGACTTTTACATAATATTCATGGGCACTAAACTTTAATAACAATGTGAAATAAAGCCAAAATTTTTAAAGGTCTTTAAATTTAACAAAATACGTATCAACTAATTTATAGTAAATAGAGATATTATTTGTTATAATTTATTACTAAAACGGACATCCAGGTTACACGTATATACTCGTAGCTTGCCAGGAGCTTTAATTTTATTACTGCACCAAAAGGAAAAACGGATCACGCTTCAGAATTAGGTAATAACTTATTTAAAATAATTACTAACTGTTCCTTCAGTATGAAAAGAAACACGAATCAAATAATTTATCATTGCAATCTCTCAAACATTCATACTCGTATTAAAATGCCAACGGGCACATTTGCATGAGCCGTTTCTGTGCATTTTGTTTATAATTAATATATTAGATATATATACGTCAAAAGAGAATGATAAGAAGGTCAAAATAACAATTATGAATCAGTGAATAATAATTATCGTATGACTTTATGCCAGCGAATATATTGCATTTGGATATAACTTCGTCTGCTAATATAGCGAATTGTAAACATTGCATCAAAATGCACTATGCACTAAATATTTTATTAGTAATGAATGGTATTCCATTGTAACATAAATCAAAAAGTTTCGATAAGTGGATTATAAAGAAATATCTTATTTGCGGATTTTTCTGTGTATGTTTCCCATGCAGTGTCTTCTATTTTTGCCAGATCAAGCAGGCCTATCCGGGAAATATGACGCCATGATGGCCTTACAGAAGGCGGGCGTGAACTGGATTACGCTTTTATCTTTTGTCTAGTGACTGCAGTTATGGGGTCCATCCTTTTAAAGTTTGATAATGAATTTGCAACCAATAGACCAAGTCAACCACTTACCACCTTCTCACGTAATAAAATATTAAATTTAAAACAGTATAACAATGAATATGTTGTTAAGAATTACCAAAAAAACAAATGTAAACTTGTGGAAAAACCATGTAAACACGACAAAATGTCACTTCCATAAACAAACGACTGTCCAAAAACATTACGCATTGAAAATTGGCGTAATTTGTTAAATTTATGTGCCCCAAGTGCGCTGGAAAAATACATGGATTTGTTATTTTCGGGATTCAATTTTTTTACTATATAGGTATGAAGAAAATTTGTGGGTTCTGTTCAACGACTACAGTGTTTTTTCAAACTCTGATTTACGAATGTAAACAGCTTAAAACGTTTTTGTTTCTCGTTTTAATGTAATAGCTTCGTCATCATCTCTCTTTTTTCTTTTCACTATCTAAAATAATTTTTAGAAAAGTTTTCACGTTCGTTAAACAAACATTTGTGATTGATATAATTGTCTTTTTATTATATATTTCGGTATTGTTATTGTGTAACTACATATTTTAGGGCATGCCCTCTGTATAGAGGAGGCCTTTCCCCAGCAGTGGGACATGTATAGGCTGTTACTTTACTTTTACATATTTCAAAGTGAAAATAAAAGATAAATTATAGTAGGGCCAACAGTTTTTACAGTTGCTAATGATTTTATTCTTTGGCGTCGCACAATGGAAAACATGAAATATCATCTGTATATTTTTATGAGTGCGCGTTCTACCGTGGCATCAGTGCAGAAACAACAGTGCAGGTACAGAAACAGCTCGAAGGATTAATGACGTGTACGACGCTGGTGTCGCAAAAGAAAGCACGGTAAGTTTTTGGTTTCAACGTTTTCGTTCTGGAAATTTCGACCTTCAGAGCCAACCCCGTGGACGGCCGCAGACCAAAGTGAAAATGAAGAATTAAAGTCTATTGTGGAAACGACGCCATCACAAAGCATTTCAGAGATAGCTGCAGACTTCGGAGTAAGTGATAAAACTGTAGTAACCCACTTGTAGCAAATCGGGAAAGTAAAAAAATTTGAACCATGGGTACCTAATGAATTGAGTGAATTGAACGTGCAAACACTCGTCGACTGCTGTGTTACTTTGCTCAACCGACACAATAATGAAGGGATGTTAAATCAAATCATTACTTGTGATGAAAAGTGCAAGGCTAAACCCTGGAGACCCGGCCAAATCCTGCCCTTAACGAAAATTGAATCAGAAAAAGTTACTTGTGAGTGTTTGGTGGATTAGCGCCGGTTTCGTATCGATTTTCATGAAATTTAGTATGTGCGTAGATGCGGGGGCGAAAAATCGATCTGGCTAGGTTTCATTTTTAGAAAATGTCGTTTTATCCGAGTTAAAAAATATCATTTGAATACGACGCAAAGTGTCACCGAAAAAAAAATTGTTATAATAGCTCGGTCGGTAATCTGGCGGCCCCGAAATGGAAGGCCTTTTTTTACTTTTTTCGATTTCAGATCATTACTTTCTTTATTTTCCAGATGATTTTGTTATTTTTTCCCCTTTTTTTAAAGTTCTTTTTTATTTTACGTCGGTAAGATCAAAAAATATTATGCATATTTCATTACTCAGTAATTTGTATCTAAATGTAATTTCCAAAATATATGATTTACCAAAAAAAAAAAAAAACAAACCAGGCAAAGCTCGATCCTCCAGGTACTTTAATTCTGAAATGACATTCTTATGACTGAGGACAGCTGTGGTAACTGGTGTGATCTTTATGAAAAAAACAACTTAAAAAATAATCATCTTGAGATGACCTTGTGTATATTTAGCATAAAAGTTAAATTTATATTATAAATAGAAATTTAACTTTTATGCAAATTTTTTTACTGATAAACTGAATAAAACAGTCTGAATAAAACAGAATAAACAGTTGCAGATGATATTTCTGAGCAATATTTTTATACAAAATAGAACATAAATTTTTTTATCCAACATTAACAACATTAAATCTATTTGAAATTATATATTATCTAATAAACCTAGTCCACGCGGCATGGTGCCAAGAATGTTAGCTGCATTTCTTCGCTGAAAAGTTATGTTTAGCCTTTGAGCGAGAAAATAATGGCAATTACATTTCTAAGATATTGAATAAATAGTTTACAGATATATTATAACGGGTAGTAAAGTAAAGTAACAGCCTATATGTGTCCCACAACTGGACGAAGGACTCCATTTTACAGAGGGTATTAGGGCATAGTCCACCACGGGAACCCACTGCGGATTGCCGGTCTTCAAATATCTTCGAAATATTGTTTTGTTATTATTTCGAAATAGATACAGGTTTCCTCACTATGATTTCCTTCACCGCTGAGCACGTTGTAAGTCAGCACTTAAAATGTACAATTTCATAGGGGATTGAAATTAGGTTGCTCGAGTTAAATTCCAGCGCCCGGTCAATGAGCTATCACGGCTTATGAGCTATCTTAAGGGTAAAATGCTTTAATATCTCTTCATGGGGCATATGGATTAAGAAAGAAAAATCAATTCTTAAGTTTCATATAAATATTATGTTAAAAAAATTGGTCCCTGCGGATCAATAATGAGAGAGTTTCTTTCTGTAATAAGTGCTTTAGCTTTATAAACTTTTAATGGGTGGACGTAATAAAAAAAAGTTTTAACTTTGTCATAATCATA